TGGAGGGACAGCGATACCTGTCACCAGCTCGCGTGTAGCTAGCTCGCTTAGCCTAGCTTTGGCTCGCTACAGGTCTACGTGGTATTTATGGTGTGAATGGTATATGTCATAGGTCGGCAATAGGCGGCCCGCGGGCCAGATGTGGCCCGCAAGCAAAAACATCTGGCCCATGAGATTGTTTGAACTAGAGAATGATAATAAAAATATAAAATATACTTTTAAAAAATCGGACTGCCAGTCTCAAAAATGCTCTTTATTGGAACCTTCATTTTCCAGAACAGAAAAATTTCCTCAATCTAAATGCTTATTTGTTTTATCTGGATACGAGAGTGAATACGCACATCAGCGAGGTGCAGCGTGAACGCTCAACATGCAAAAACAAATGAAGTCAGTGGACAGCGCCTGGTGCTGAAATTCCAAACTAGTCCCTAAAACACAAGTTGTCATTCAAACAACGGACATAGGCTTCATATTATTGTGAAAATTAAAACACGACTTCTTTCAAACAGGCCAGACATCAAACATAGGCATTTCCGTACATAGAACTGTGAAAAGTAAAACACGAGTTTCAAACGTGCGTGTTATTTAGGCCTTTATATGACTGTGGTGGCACCAAAAATGTAAACTGATAACAATGCATTGCACTGTTAAATCGGAGCAAATCAGAGCAAAAAGTACGAAGCAAAAAAGCTGAATCCACTCGACCATGGGCTGGAGTGCTCGGCCCCTGAAACGACAGAGCAGACGTGCTACATTTACTGCCTGAATTATGCCTAGCCTACAACGAGACATTCATTAAAAATACAGTTCAGATTTTAGACACAATTACTGGTTTAGATTACTCACCTAGTGTGAAAAGTGGCATCTCCCACTGGTCACTATTTGCTGGATATCTGGTGAAATAGACGTCACTTTAATCCTCAGGCAGTTCTCGAGATTTTGGTGAGTCAGTCTATTCCTCTCATGCGTTTTTATTGCATTCATAGCTGAGAAGGACGACTCACATACGTAGGTGGAAGGGAACATTGTCAGAATGTAAAGTGCGACTTTCTTGAGGTTGCTGTATTCCTCGGAGCATAGTAGGCCTACCCAAAAGGCACTCATGGACTCCGCACTTCTGAGCGCATCTCGCACAACTGAGGTGGTTTGGAAGTCAATAATTTCCATTTCCAGCGCAGCCTGATCCAAAGAGGAGATCATTTCTTTCGCCAGGAAGGAGAAGTTGTCGGCTGGTTTTACTGCAGGGTCACGTATAAAGTCAATGATGTCTTTTGGGATGGAGTAGTCATCAAACCGAGAAGTGAAGTTGGCTCGTAGCCTCTTGATGAAGTCAACCATCAACTCCGTCACTTCTCCCGCTGTCTTCTTCAGTGTGCTGAAATGTAGGAGCCTGCCGGTAGATATGTCTTCCTCAAGCATCTCAAGCTTCCTCGTGAATGACTCCAGTTTTTCAACCATGTCCACGATGGTTTTGTCTCTCCCCTGTAGCTGAAGGTTAAGCAGGTTTAGGTGGCCAAATATGTCAGATAAAAACGCTACATTGGACATGAACTTTTCATCTTCCAGCAGGATAAGGTGGTCAGCTGCTGCCTTGCTCTTGCTCATTCCAAGGAACGCTTTGATCTCATTCAGTAGCGCACAGAAGCGATCCAGTGCTTTCCCCTTGCTTAACCAGCGCACATCATTGTGAAGCAGCAAGTCATCGTGGGCGGCATCTGCTGACTCAGCCACAAGTTGTCTGAAAAGCCTATGCTGGGTGCTTGATGTACCTCTGACAAAGTTAATGACTTTCATCACTTTGTCCATAACATTCTTTAGCTCGCCATTCAGTCTGGCACAGAGGACACTTTGGTGGATGAGGCAGTGCAGCCCGTGCATTTGGGGGGCGAGTTCTTTCAGCCTGCTCACCAGACCTCTGTGCTTTCCCACCATAGCAGGAGCCCCGTCTGTCACAATTAGGTTAACCCTCTCAAATGATAATGAATGCAACTGAAACAACTCTTCCAGTTTCGCAAATATAGCATCTCCAGTGGTGTGCCCTTCTAATGGAATAAGAGACAGCAACTCTTCCTTGAAATCCTTCCCATCAAAGTATCTCACATAAATGCACAACTGGGCTACATCTGTGTTGTCAGTGCTCTCATCAATGGCTAAGGAAAAGTAGTTTGCGTGACTGACACCGTCGATAATTGCACCCAGCACCGCATCAGACAGCGCTTCTATGCAGCGGGCAGCGGACCTCGCAGAGAGCGACATCTGTTTCACTGACCCGATCACATCATCCATCGACTTGTTGGTATCAAGTTCCTCCAAAACTGTCACCATCATCTCCTTGAAGACCTCTGCGTCAGTGAATGGCTTGTTGTGCTTTGCGAGCACCCAGGACGCTTTCAGAGACGCACTAGTTACCTTCTGTTGGGATGTGAGGCCTCGCACCAGGATCCTGGTGCTGTGTGCATAAGCACCTTTCAGGGCTTCGATTTTACGCTTTCGTGCCTCTGTCTTCTGAGGGAACGCAACCTTGAAATTAGCATGCTTCGTTTCGTGGTGCCGTCTAATATTGTACTCTTTGCATGCAGAGACACCCTCGTTACAGATCAGACATGTGGGCTTTGCATTAATAAAACTGGGGAGGATGAAGGCATAGTTCTCTGTCCATTCATCATGAAAGATCCTGTTTTCGCTGTTAATTTTTCTCTTGAGATTTTTTGATAGTGCCATTTTTCGATAGCTAACAGCAACAGGAAATGTTTTTTTTTAACAGGCATATAATTGCTACTAATTATACCACTGGGACTACTGCCCCCAGTGGTCAGTCCCAAATGTAACCTACATCAGCCCGCTTGAATGTCTCAGTGCGTCTGCTCATTTCAAGAGCACCTATCATTTTCACTATCACCCCTCCTCCCCTATTAATTCATTAAATTAGCCATTGTTTTGGTTGTGGCCCGCCATGTAATGGCTTGGAAAATATCTGGCCCGAGGCCAAACTTAATTGCTGACCCCTGGTATATGTGTATGGTAAATGGACCTGTACTTGTATAGCGCCTTTCTAGTCTTCTGACCACTCAAAGCGCTTTTACACTACGTGCCACATTCACCCTTTCACACACATTCACTCAGTGATGGCAAAGTCCATCGAACATTCATACACACTCACACACCGATGCACGGCATCGGGAGCAATTTGGGGTTCAGTCTCTTGCTCAAGGATACTTCGACATGTGGCACCAGGAGCCGGGGATCGAACCCACAACCTTCCGATTAAAGAACGACCCGCTCTGCCTCTCAGCCACAGCCGCCCTTATGAGTGTTCGCTTGAGTTTAATATTTTCATCTCAAGCTAATGCGCATTTGACGCAAACACCCTGAATAAGCAAACAGCCAGATATGCAAAACTGGTTGAAAACCTGCACGAAAGCTTTGTGACCCGGTTCCGTGATCTACAACTGAAAAAGGCCACAGATCACATTCCTCGTCGACCCTTTTAATGTGGAGACGGACTGTTTGAAATCCCCGCTAGTCACAGATGAGGCTGCGGCTGAGTTGGAGATGATCGATCTTTGTGAGGAGGACCAACTGAAACCTGCTTTAAGGGAAGGAACCATTGAGTTCTGGAAAAGTGTGCCAATGGAAAAATACCCCAATGTCAAATAGGCTGCGCTCAAGATACTGTCAATGTTTGGGTCAACATACGTCTGCGAGTCTCGTTTTCTACCCTGAAACATGTGAAATCAAAGCATTGATCTGTTCTGACTGACACACGTGAAAGAATTGCTTCGAGTGGCAACAATGGCATACAAGCCAGATTTGAAGAGGATTGTTCAAGGCAAGGAATGCCAGAAGTCCCACTAAGCAAAATGCATAGTGCGTGTGTGCGTGTGTGTGTGTGTGTGTGTGTGAGAGAGAGAGAGAGAGAGAGAGAGAGAGGAAGGGATGGGGGGATGTTCATGTGTGCCCGTGTGTATGATGTGGCTCTTTGCAGTAACACAGTAAAAAATTTGGCTCTTAGTCTCTGACTGGTTGGCCACCCATGTATTAGTGCTAAATAACAGGCTGCTCTAGCATTACGGAGGGCCTTTCTATATATTTTAAGACCATCTTGCCAAATTGAGCGATATTCTATTACGTTATTCTCTTCGTTGTACTGTGTATGATTGTACAACGATCAGCACTAATATTATGAGGACCATTATGGACCACTTTTGATAGGTACTGACCTCTGCAGACCGGGAACACCCCAGCTCTTACCCAGTTATCCATCACAATGTGGCCCTTGTCAAAGTTGGTCAGATCCTCACACTGCCCATTTTTCCTGCTTCAAACACATCAACTCTGAGGACAAAATGTTCACTTGCTAAAAAAAAAATAGTTTTCTCATAGTTTTTACAAGTTAGGACAACTGACAGCAGGCTGAGGTCAGTTTGATAATCACCATTATATATTTATTCATTGCAGGTTTACTGAGAAGACATTTCTTTGCAGGAGAGACACGCGTGGTGCAAGCAGGACGCCCACTTTCTTTGGCATTCATACTTTGTCAAACATCAGATTTCTAAACAGTCAAATAAGCTAAAAGTGTGTGTCTTGCTCATGAAGCTCAGTTATATATCCCACAATGCACCACAGAGCGCCTCTCCTGCAGGGCTGGTGACAGGTAAAACCCTCAGGCTGATCATTCTAATCTTTGAATCATATTGAACAGCCAAAAGGACAGTGATAGTGGACACTGACAGTAGGGTATATCCCCATATTGGATATAGAGCAGGAAGTGAGGTGCATTCTAATGCATCTAACACGAACACCGCTGTATATAATTTTTGGAATGAAAAGAATAAAGTACTTTAAAGACTTTAAAAACAGCAGTTTCAGTCAGAACCGGCTATGGAAAAAAACCACAGAGAGGCTACGATACAACACAGACAAAGGGAGTGAGACGCCATGACTCCACTATATTTTTACATAGGGAGTAGTTGTTTGCTGCTATATTGATATCTCACCTTGGCGTCGTGGATCCCTGACACCTCCTCAAAGGTCTTCTCCCCCACCATGACGGCGGCGAGGTTGGCTGTGTAGCTGGACAGCACCAGCAGGCAGAAGATGGCCCACAGGTTCATCAGAAACCGACCCGTCCAGCACTTTGGTGTCTTGGAGGAGACGGTGCGTCCGAACAGGATGGCATAGCACAGGTTGAGAGCGGAGGAGTACGAAAACACCCTGACCCTGTTGCGTCCATGGGGTGTCATGCCGTATGGACTCTTCCACTCATACAGCGTAAGGAAGAGCGCTGTGATGTGCAGTGCCAGGAAGATGCCCACCCACATGGACCAGTGCAGGGGCCACATGAAGGCTCCAATGGGGGCCGCTGTGTCCTTGCTACGCACCAGGATGCCTAGGCTGGTGGAGAAGAAGGGTGAGGTGAAGTCGATCACCCGGCTCCGCGCTGAGTTAATGCTAAAGGAGGTGACGGCCATGTCTGCCAGTCCATTCAGAAGATCCCCCACCAGCCCAGTCCACCGACGCCCCTTCCACGCACCGTACTTCCCATCTCCAACGATATAAAGGTCGAACTCGAAGTCCAGGTCCTCTGCCAGCTTCTCCAGCAGGTCGATGCAGTATCCATAACAACACTTGCTGTACTCTGCGGGCAGGAAGCTGCCGTTCCCCCCCGCCACCTCCCTGAAGAACCTCTCCAGAGTCTCCGAGCTGTTGGTGCTGGCATCCAGGCAGTACTGCCCAGCTGGGCAGCTGCCCTCGTCGTCCACGTCCCGCGTGAACACAAAGGGATGTTCCACCAAAGTCACCACCCGGACCCGACTCCCCGCCACTGGCATCCCTGCCCTCCAGCGCCCCCTGGTCCTCCCGCCTGTCCCCTCTGTCCGGTGGTGAGGTTTGGGTCCCTGCCAGACTGCCTGGTCCTCCACTTGCAGTTGGCCTCCCTCCCAGCTCCCCACCGTCACCCAAGTGGGCTGACCCAGCGCGTCCCGCCGCAGGCTCCAGATGTGGAAACGCTGCGAGGTGAGTACCTGAGATCGGTTCTGGTGGACTCGGACTGGACCCGTCAGACCGTAGAAAGACGTGTTGGACAAGAACCTGCAAGACCAAAACAAAAGCCAGTTGGCTGATCGAACAATCAGTGGAACTGTCTGAGCTGTAAAACAGACATTAGTGAAAAACTGAGACTTAAAAGAGAAAACATCTGATTGACTGGAACCTTCCATTGTTTGACCTTTGACCTGGAGCTCTTGTCTAATGACCTTGTCAGAATTAGCTCCACCAGCTATTTATCGCCATTAACCAATCAACTCATATTAACACATTAAATCAAAAAAGTCCAACTGCTGCTCCTAAGACCTGCCCACCCAGACCTCCGTCCTCAGACCTCCCTCTTGCATGTAATATCACCCCCTGCTGGTGGGAGGATTTATTGTATTTTCTTTCATGAGCAGGGTTCGAGTTATAATCTGAGCTTTGTGGGTTTCTCTAAATATATGTATATGAATCTTGGAGTTATCTTTGATCAGGATTTGTCATTTAACTCTAACATAACGCAGACCTCTAGGACACATTAGACACATACTATCACAGACAGATGCAGAAAAACTAATCCATGCATTTGTTACTTCAAGGCTGGATTACTGCAACTCTTTATTATCAGGTTGCCCCAATAAGTCCATTAAAACGCTCCAATTAATTCAGAACGCTGCAGCATGAGTACTGACAGGAACTAGAAAAAGAGATCACATCTCTCCTGTACTAGCTTCTCTGCATTGGCTCCCTGTAAAATGTAGAATAGAATTTAAAATCCTCCTCCTCACCTATAAAGCTCTTCATGGTCAGGCCCCTTCATATCTTAAAGAGCTCATAGTACCCAATTACCCCACTAGAACATTACGTTCTCTGAATGCTGGGCTACTTGTGGTTCCTATAGTCTCTAAAAGTAGAACAGGAGCCAGAGCCTTCAGTTACCAAGCTCCTCTCCTGTGGAACCAGCTTCCAGTTGTGGTTCGGGAGGCAGACACCCTCACCACATTCAAGAGTAGGCTTAAGACATTCCTCTTTGATAAAGCTTATAGTTAGGGCTGGATCAGGTGAGTCCTGAACCATCCCTTAGTTATGTTGCTATAGGCCTAGACTATCGGGGGATTTCCCATGGTGCACTGAGCTCCTCCCTTCCTCTCTCTTTCTGCACTCATTCATGTTCCATTAATGCATGATACTAACTTCACTTCTTCCCCGGAGTTCTTGTGCTTTCTCGTCTCGCAGGTTCTTGTCGATCCTGGTGGAGCCTCCTGCCATGGTCCTGCTAGATTGCCATTGCCAATACTGTTGTTGCTGTGCACCTGTCTGTCTGTCTGTCTCTCTCTCTCTCTCTCTCTCTCTCTCTCTCTCTCACCCCAACTGGTCGAGACAGACGACCACCCACCTAGAGCCGAAGGATCTGTCCTAGGTTTCTGCCTTTTAACAGGCAGTTTTTCCTTGCCCTTGTCGCCAAGTGCTTGCTCATGGTGGTACTGTTGGGTCTCTGTAATTAATGTTTTAAAGAGTTCGGTCTAGACCTGCTCTATTTGAAAAGTGTCCTGAGATAACTTCTGTTATGAATTGACGCTATACAAATAAAATTGAATTGAATTGAATTAAAATAAGTAACGTTTTGGTGGGGATAGATTAAAAAAAGTGGGTACGCTTGCAATGACAGAGAGAGAATTCTGTCCATTTATCATGTTAAAGTAGGTGAGCTGTAGTGCTCCTCTAATGGGAGGAAGCATAGTTTTTCATCGCTCATGCTCAAAAGCCAATTGTCTCACAGGACAGGGGCTTCAGGAGGGAGGCATGCTGTTGGAACTTCTCCAACAAACATTCACTCAGGTTTTATTTTGATAATTTTTTGAAAATTTGAGCTCCATTTGGAAATTTGACTTATGAGAAGATTGTTTAAAGAAATATTCATCACACTTAACAACTCTATAATTCTACAGTCCCAAACTGTTGAGATCTGCAGTGAATATTCGGGGTTCTCAACTATCAAAACCGACAACAAACATCAGAACCTGATGGACGGGTGTATGCACTGTCACACTTTTCTACATCTGTTAAGTCATGTGGTCTGACTGATATCCAATCACCAGAAACACACTTTGATGTGAGGTATATACAGGGTATTAGTCTTATTATATTTACAAATTAACTCTCAAAGTGATCAGATGACCTTCTGATGTCAGTGTCTGTGAAGAGAAACATCAGATTTAAATCAAATCTGATGTTTCTCTTCACACTCCCTCTCTTCATTTCCTTTTCTTTTCTCTTTTTTGCAGCAGATAATCTGTCCTGTGAGGTTGTTATCTCTCCGTGTAATTTCATTTACCGTGAATGTGTTTGATCTTTTACTGTCAGTAAACTGAACGCAGCAGTTAAACCTTTTATCTTTCTCAAACCTGCAGCTCTTCCCATTTCCAACTGCTGACAGACTCTCAGACACAATGAATGACTCTGCTCGCAATGTTTCCTGTAGCTTACAATAGGCTCATCGGAGATGATCCAGGGCTGTACAGATCACCAGCAATTGCCACACAATGCATGCTGGTTAGATTTGTGTTGACTTGATGCTGACTCACTCTGGCGTTGTGCATACGTGGGCAACAATAACCTCACAAGATCGACGCGGCCACAGTTTTTGCTCTCCACCGACAGCGAAACACAGGGCATGATGGGAAACGCTTGGCTGTCGTCTGATCAAAGAGCTGATTGGCTCTTAGTTTCAACAACAAACAACACATTTTCCTAGTTTTCTGTGATTTTTAAATTGAGCTGTAGATTGTAGCTGCTGAAGGTTTAATCTGTTAGAAACAGATCTTGATGATAATAATAAAGTTTATTTATAGATCTGAATGTGGTCTAAAAACTACAGGCAACCTAAAGATGATCTAACACAAAGTAAACATTTTTGTGACTTTATTCTTTGCAGGTTACTGGAAACTGTCCGACTGACTGCAGTTTTCTGTCTCCTCTTGCTGCCTGATCTAGTCCCCTTTACAGGAGAGCAGTTAATCTCCAAAGAGCCTACTGACAGTAGTTCACTGTGTTTCCTGCAGATGGCAGCGTTTCCTGTAGCTCAGACCTTTGGAACCCCAACCTCTCTGGATGTCTGACAGGCTGAGATTCTGTTGGGGGATTGTGGACTGTTTCTCCATCAACTTCAGTCAGCCAGTCTGCGTCTCTGGTTGGTTCTTGTCTGTTACACATTTCACAATTTTGGCTTTCTGTTGTTCAAGAAATAAAAAGGTTTTGAAAGTACAACATTGATGAACGTATCAGAATCATGGTGAAAACTCACATTAATATCCATCCCTGGTCAGATTTATTTCTGCTGTCAGCCATGTTCAGTCCCTCCAGGATCTCTCAGGCATTTTGGGGGGATTGTTACAACCTAAACTGTTTGATTTCACTGCAGCTTTTCTAAAACCTTGCAATGTATGCTGTGATGTTATTAAGCTTTGTTTTGTATAACTGATTAAAAAAATCACACCAGGGACACAACAGTTTCTACCCACAGGCCATCACTCTGATCAACACTTAACTGAGCCTTGTGAATCTAACATCTACTTATTTTCATTGTTGAAATTACGTTTTCTTTTTAAAAACACATCTCCTTATGCTGCATATACTGTCATATCCAGCTACCTCACGTACCTAAAAATACCTATAAAAATACAAACATTTATTCCAGCATTCTTCGCACTATGCTCCATTGTACAATTGTCTTACTGTCTACAAATGTTATTGTTGTTTATATCAATGTGTTTATACACTGATCAGCCATAACATTATGATCACCAGGGTGCCCACGTGGTCATATTGCCTCAGACCAACAGACTGCTCTGCACTGTGTGTTCTGACCCTTTTCTATCAGAACCAGCATTAACTGTTTCAGCAGTTTGAGCTACAGTAGCTTGTCTGTTGGATCAGACCAGCCTTCACTCCCCACCTGCATCAATGAGCCTTGGCCCCCCCATGACCCTGTCTCCGGTTCTGTTCCTTCCTTGGACCACTTTTGATAAGTACTGACCTCTGCAGACCGGGAACACCCCACAAAAGCTGCAGGTTTGGAGATGTTCTGACCCAGTCGTCCATCACAATGTGGTTCTTGTCAAAGTGGCTCAGATCCTCACGCTGCCCATTTTTCCTGCTTCTAACACATCAACTCTGTCCACTGTCTGCCTGATATACCCCCCCACTGAAAGGAGCCCTGATAACCAGATAATCAGTGTTACTGGCAGTGCCCACTGTATTAGGGCTGATTGGGGTATATATATATATATATATATATATATATATATATGGACCATATAGTCTTGTTTATTTATGTTATTCTGTGTTTGTACATTGAGAGTTAAATTATTTGTATGTGTGCACATAAAAAAAGTTCCAGTGAGAATAAAATCTCAGTATGTTGGTGACGTATGGATCAGTGTTCTGTACAGGAGACTGCTGTGATTGGACTGGTTGAATTAGTGTTAATTGTTGAGATCACAGCTTCCTCGAGGGCTGATGATGGCTGTCTGTTTCTGTGTCCGAGTCGTCCCGAAAAAGGAGGAAAGTTATAGGAAGAAACCTGTCTGTTAAAGAGAGAGAGAGAGAGAGAGAGAGAGAGAGAGAGAGAGAGAGAGGGAGAGACAGGTAGAGAGAGACAGTGACTGAGACAGAGAGAGAGACAGACAGACAGACAGACAGACAGACAGAGGGAGAGAGAGAGAGAGAGAGAGAGAGAGAGAGAGAGAAAGACAGAGAGACAGAGACAGAGAGAGAGACAGAGAGAGAGAGAGAGGGACATACAGAGAGAGCTTTAGGCTCCTTATAACACACAGACTGTGTTTATGAATATATATGAACATTAATATATACTGTATGTGTCTGCAGTCTTAACTCCTCCCGCCTAAGAGGTGAGGACAGAGGAATCAAACCGTTGCTGGCTGCACAAATATTAATCTGCTAATGAGCACTGATTATAAATCTACTGTCACTGTTATTTCATTCTCTGATCAGAATTCAGAGAGAATATTAAAACCCATTTATACATTGCGAGGCACAAAAACTGTGAGACATTAAGGTTATTACAATCCTGCAGATATTTTATATTGCTTTCATTAGAATAGGTTATTTACATACATGTAGTTGGTTGTTACCTGGAAAGGTACTGCCCTGACGACGGAACCTCGAGTTTGTTGGGTTTGTCGTAGCAGTTCACCATGTTCTGGATCAGAGCCAGGTCCGGTCTCACCACGGTTGCTGCGGCGACGGCCCTGGTGACGAGCTGCAGGGCGTCTCTGACGTAGAACTCTAGAGGTTTCCTCTCCACCTCTCCATAGGCCAGGAGGCCGAGTGGCAACCCGATGGCGTGCAGCGCGTCTGGGCTGAGTGGCTGGCCCAGCACCCAGTGCACCATGGGTAATGTGAGGCCCAGGTCCTGAGCACTACGCAGCACTGCTGCTGCACACTGCGGGTCGGCTCCGAACAGCACCACAGACACCGGCGAGGGCTGGTTCTGTCTGAAGTGTCGGGACAGGAAGTCGTGGATCTGAGTGTCATCGTGTGCCGACTGTGTCAGGTTGAGGATGGCACGCAGGTGCCAGATGGCCCCGCCCCCACTGTCCCATGATGCAATCTGACCATCCAGGAGCCGCAGGAGACCCCGAGACTCCTCCCAGCCCCGACACAGAACTGCAGTACCCTCCCTCCAACCAGACCGCTGCAGAACTGTCAGCAGCAGGTCGGACAGACCGGACTCTGGAATCCCTGTCACCATCTGCAGGTGGAACCGGTTCTACACAGAACCAGGAAGTAGAGCCAGGAGAACCAGGAGGAGAATCAGGACGACAAAAGTTAGAACGTGACAGAGTGGATCACAACTCAAACAGAAGAAATAATGAATCAATCAAAACATGAGATACTTCAGATCAGATCATAAATCACTGATAATTACAACCTGTCTGCTGTCTGGAGAACAAATCTGTGTCTTTAGAGTACTGTTCCACAAACCAACAGAGAACCAACAGAAAACCAGAAGGAAACCAACAGAGAACCAACAGAGAACCAGCAGGAAACCAACAGAGAACCAACACAGAAACAGAACAGAACCAGCAGGGAATCAACACAGAACCAACAGAGAACCAACAGAGAACCAACACAGAACCAGCAGGGAACCAACACAGAACCAACACAGAACCAACACAGATCGTACATAGAACCAACAGAGAGCCAGCAGGGAACCAACACAGAACCAACACAGACCCAACACAGAACCAACAGAGAACCAGCAGGGAACCAACACAGAACCAACATAGAACCAACAGAGAGACTGAGCTTCATCAAAGACACAAAGACACAAAATATTTTATGTTTTATCCAGTCGACAGAATCAAACGGAGAGAAAACGGATGTCCTGATAAAGTCATTGATTTGAGATCAGGAATGTTTACAGGCAGCATCTTAACGAGGTCAAACACTGATCTGCAGTCAGCGGCAGTCTGAAGGGCACACTGAACTCTGCTGTTGGTTTCATTCAGTCTGTAATCAGTTCATTCTCTCAACGCTCGATTCACGCCACCGCTTCCCTCCGCAGAGCGACCGTCAGCCAAACTCCACCTGACACACTAACAGGCTGCACACACAGGAGACCCAACTTACATTACACCTCCTCCTCCTCCCCCTGGCGGAGTGCAGACAGAGAAATAGATCTGTTTCTGTCTGATCTGATTGGAGGAGCACTGACAGCATCAATCAACCCTAACCTCCCTGATCCTGATCACTTTCAGACCGCCAGTTGTAGAAACCTATTTAACTTTATCTCACTTTATTTCACTATACTGCACTTTACTGCACTTTATTTTACTATATTGCACTTTATTTCAATATACTGCACTTTACTGCACTTTATCTTACTATATTGTACTTTATTTCACTATACTGCACTTTACTTTATTTCACTATACTGCACTTTACTTTATTTTACTAAACTGCACTTTACCTCACTATATTATGTCAGCTCCCTCTCTGACTCCCCTCTGGTAGATAACATGGGATGAAGAGCTTTCTGGGGTTTGCTTCCAATCACATTCAAATTAAAAACTAATTTCCACATGGTGAACCTGGAGCAGGAAAGCCCCTGAGGGTCCAAGCCCCTGGGTATTTTCCTGCCTGGCACTTCATGTACACAGACACAGCTGTAAACACTGTGTCAGCAGGAACATAATGAGGGGCCCCTTCAGGAGGAGCTGCCCTCTTCTCCGGTAGGACAAACTGATCAGAGATCAATCAGTGATCCTCTAATGTTTGATCTGTGAGTCCGTCTCAGGTCGTGTCTGTCAGGTGTCAGGAGTTTGAGTCCCTGCAGATTGACATCCTGTTTGTCCTCATCGGAGTTAATCACCTGCAGCCGCCGACAATTTACCATGTTAGAAGAAAACCATCAGACAGCAGGAGAGAGAGAGAGATTAAAGATCAAACAGATACACTGGTGATGCAGGACACGTTGCAAGTCACTGTGACAACGCTCTGACAGGCAGATCTTTAAGGATTTAAATCATCCAACCAGTGATAATAGAAATAAACCAGGAGAGATGAGAAACGAGGGTCAATCTGAATCCTGATGTCTGATGGGACGAGACAACTGCAGACTAAAACTTGACTTTATTTTAGTTTACTTACTGTACCACTCCATTTCACTTCAATCCACTTCAGTTACTTTAGTTCAGTTTCACTTCACCTCACTTTACTTCACTCTACTTTCCTTTGCCTCACCTGAAACTTTACTTTACTCAGTAACTTTAGGAATATCCCAACATCATCTCAGCGATCGGTATCGCCGCAGATCAAGCCATTTTTTTAATGATTGGTATCAGCCATTTTGAGAATTATTGACTTGATCTTGTTTTACGTCAACTGTTTTTACTCCTGAAGCTTTCATACATGGTGCAGTCGTTGTCAGCTCTCTCCTGTGTCTCTGTCCTACACTCTGAACTCTGTGTGTGAGAGGAAGTCCCATCCACTGCGGAGTTTTAGCACAGTGGGTGGGACTTCCTCTTATTGTAGGAGAGACAGCACTAGAGATCCGACACAACCACACTCAACATGCCACTGCAAGTGAAACAAAAGCTGTGCGAATAGAAAGCCAATAAGAGTAATTAATGAATGTAATCAATTAATGTAGAGAGAATGTAAATAAACAACAGAATACAGACAGTTCATTCAGTAGCTCAGGTAAATTCTCCACGGAAGCACCAAACCCTCGAGACAGCGACAAGGCAAACAGATTACAGACGGTTTGTTATTTTATGACTTATTATATAAAATAATTTTTAAAAATCCTTAAGAGTTTAAGTGTTATGTTTCTTAATGTGATGCAGAGCTGATTGAGTTAAATAACTTTAATGTAGTTGAAGTGTGCACTGTATTATATTGGAGAGGGACTTGCTACCGGCAGATATTAAATATTAAATGACTCAGATTATCCCAGATAAGTTCCTGCTGTATGAAATCAGTGCAGGTTTTATCTTCACTTCCCTTCACTGTTTATTTCCTCTCAAACATTTGTGAGGTTTGTGATGATGCTTGCAAGCTGCAGTGCATGCTGGGAATGGTTTTGATGTCAGGAAGGATTTGAGCCTCCAGGTGACAGGAAGCGTTGAGGTGACAGAATAAACATACAACTGCAGACAATCTGACGGATTTTAACTGTCTGAAGTAAGTCAGGACATTTTAACCAACGAGGAAGAAGAGGAGGAGGATGAAGATGATAATGAGGAAGATAAAGATGAGGAGGATGAAGATGATAATGAGGAAGATAAAGATGATGATGAGGAAGATGAAGATGAGGAGGAGGAAGAAAACTGTTACATAAAACTTTATTTTGAAAGTATTTCTTTGTGCAGACTGAAGCAGGAAGCATTTCCTGAGGAGAAAATAAAAGCAGCTGACTCTTCCACTCTTCCACATCTTCATACTTCTACACCCTCCCCAGGTCCGCTGTGTCCCAGGGCATCCTGGGAAATGTAGGAAATCCCTGAGTGAAGCATAACTGCTGTTTGACCCAATAACAGCAATCCTGGTTTCTTGCTTGTAATTGGATTTATGGTGAACACAGGAAATACTGACTTCACACTTTGATAAAAACACTGTATCACCATATCACTCTGTATTACTCTATCGCTCTTATCACCTGTATCACTCTATCACCCTGTATCACCCTGTATCACTCTGTTTCACTCTGTTTCAAGATGGCGCCAGTATGTGTGGCCTGCCGTCTGTCACTGCCAGTGCTGTGTGTGTTTGTGCTGTTTGTTTCGCTTCTTGCTCTGGACGTCGACTCTCTACTGGTGTATGATCGCCAAACTCTGCTGGATCTTCAATTTTCTGCTGAAGATGTACTAAAATTGGATGATCGTGGACGTGAAACTTTGCCCCGGCTCCCGGCGAGGGTCCCAGCTCACCTTTGCCGCGCCCCGGCCCCACCTTCTCGATGTAAGAGCCCCCGCCGCAGCGGCCGGCTGGTGAGGTTGAAGGACTGTCTCGCGCGTTGTTCTACGTCTTCTTGGATTGAGATTGGAGCCGTGCCTGGCCTCGTTGTTCCTCGACGCCCGCTGGACCCTGTCGACGTCTGGCGGATACCTGTCGTCGGCCCAAAAGAGGTGTTCCAGCCCCGCGGGTCCCGCTTTCCTCGTCCCCGCTGGCGTGGGGTGAATCACCGCAACTTACGGCCTCTGTGTCGGGCTCCCCGGTCAGCCAACGCCGTGGTCCTGCCGGTTCCTGCCAGGCTTGGCCTGGTAAATGCTAGATCACTAACGAACAAGACTTTTGTCTTAAAGGACTTCTTCACGTCCGAGGATTGGATTTCCTCTGTCTGACTGAGACATGGCTGAGTGTTGGTGAATCCAGCGCTTTCACTGAACTTTTACCCCATGATTGCTGCTACTTTAACTTCCCACGGACGTCGGGCAAAGGAGGAGGAATAGCGTCTATAAGAGTCATTATAAAGGTAAGCAGCCATTGCTGTCATCCTTTTTCACCAGCTTTGAACTGAGTTTATTTGAGATTTGTCGCTCTCACACAGTGTTGTGTGCTGTGGTCTATTGGCCTACAATAAGGACTTTTTAAATGACTTCTCTGATTTCCTGGCTGAAATCATGCCTAAATATGACCGTGTTCTTATTGTTGGGGATTTTAATGTTCATGTGTGTTGTCCTGATAAGCCAATGGCAAAGGGTTTTCTAAACCTCACTGATTCTTTTAATCTTGTGCAATCTGTGTCTGAACCCACACAAGAACACGGACACACACTTGCTCTTGTCTTATCATATGGTTTGCCCGTTTTTAATCTAGAGATATGTGACGCAGTGTTTTCTGACCATATGCCTGTATTATTTGAGGCTGCTCTTGCCTGTCATACTGTTAAACCTCGCGCTGCTGCTCGACGCTGTCGCATTATTAACCCTTCCACTGCTGTTCAGTTCTCGGTTGTTTTCAGTCAGAACCCCATCTTTCCTGAGTCTGTATGCAGTACAGAGGAGCTTAGCTCATGGTTTCATTCCACCTGCCAAACTGTTTTAGACACTGTGGCTCCATTAAAATCCAGGCAGCCTAAAACTAAATCTGAGCCCTGGCTAAATGACATTGTCACAGCTCTATTGAGCCACGTATCTTCATAACCCTCAGTAGCAATGACCTTTTGAGCTTCTTTTATGATAAAATGATTACTATTAGAGACACAATTAATCCAATCCAATCCAATCCAACTTTATTTGTTAAGCACTTTAAAAACAACCAAAG